GCCTCCACAATTACCTTGATGGAAGAGTGTGTTCTTGCACTGTCCAACATGCTGAAGGTAGGGGGCGGAATCTTAAAAATACCGAATCCTACACGTACATCATGACTGACTTGATTCACAAGGCTTTTGCTTATGCAGTGTCGGTTCAAGAAAAGGTTGCTGAAACACGTGCACTAGTTGCGACCATGGCCGAAGAAATGCCTGTCGAGAAGGCCTTGAAGACGGTGCGCTCGACATTCTTCGCGAGGCACTACAAAGATGTGCCGCCTGCTCGGGTTGACTATGGCTCGGACTACATCCTGCACGATGGGAAGGTGAAGGCCGAGGTCATCCCCGACGAGCTGCGCGTCGCCGCCCGAGAGGCTTGGTCAGACATGTTCCGCGATGCGGCAACTCAATCATTCATCGTCAAGGACGTGAACTCCGGTGTCGACCTTGCAAAGATGAGTGAACGAACCGATGCGCTGGCTCTCGCCAAGAACGCCATGACATCATTGATAGGTGCTGCGGGTGGCTCCGGTTGAGGCTTTCGATATTCTTCTGCCCGGGGAAACCCGCGGTCAACTATCTGTTTTTCGGCGATTCCTTCAATGCGTTGGTCAAAGATGGAACAAAGACAGATGTTGGCACCATCATCAAGGAGAACAAGAGGACTCTCTTCGGGCACAAGCATGAGGTGTGGTCTGAGATGACGTGGGGAAAAGGGCTCTCAGAGTCGCTTGACGCTGCCGAGCGAGCCATGATCAAGCTCGCCGAAAGGCCTGAGCCCCGACCATATGTCATTGTCATTTCGTGGTCCGGGAACGACGTTGTCGGTCGCAATGGCTACATCGACAACCCCGCTGCCCTAGCGGGCTGGGCCACGGATTCCGAAGCAAAACGGAAAGCGGCAATGGACATCATCGAAAGGAATGCCAGGGCGGTGATGACAGTTCGCGATCGACTTCGCCACATCGCCTACAGAGATGATGTCGTCCAGATCGTCCTCATCGTGCCGAGAGACTACGAGACCTACGGGCTGAGCGAGTCATACAAAGTCCAGATGGACGGGCACGCTCGATTGCTGCATGGATCCGCAGGCATCACCGTGCTAGACCCCCAGACCCTTATTTCCAACACGTCTCGAGCTGACCGTATTCACACGGATGACAATGAGCGGAACAGGAAGCACTACATTAGTTATTTTGTAGCTGCCGCCAAGCTCGGTTACTCCATCGGTCAGATCAATCGGTTTGAGGGTGCCATGAACTGGTATCGCCTCGAGAGGGAGTATCTGGACATCGACACGTCCATCCCGATCGTTGGCGCTTCACCCCAGGAAACTGGCGGTCCGGCAATTGCAAAGAACCCTGAGGACCCGTTCGACAACGAGGTCCGCGAAAGGGAGTTGGAGGCGATCAACGAAATCGCCGCGCAAGAGCCGAAGCGCGAGATCTTCCTGGAGGCTGAAAAGGAGGCAAACCCCCTCTACCCCCTTGACACCGTCAAGGAGGAAGCAAAGATCTTGTACATGATGATGCAACCTGACATTCACGCGGCGACCGTCAGCGGCCTCAACGATGTGATCGATTGGTCTTCTTCTTCGGATGAGGAGGATCAGGTGATCAGGCCCCCTGGCTCTCAGCCTAAGGTCAGCCGGCCGAAAGGCCAGGCCGTTGAGGTTGCCGCAGTGGATCCGAACGATGTTGGTGAGGACGGTCAAATCAAGCTCATCCTCACTTCCAAGCGGCAAAGTCACAACAAGATGACTGCAGCCATCAGTGCTGCGACACCGAAGGTGAAGGCAAAAGCCATGCCGAAGCAGGCTGCCTCGTCCAGTGATCAGGCGTCCGTGGCTGGGAGCAGCAAGACTCAGGAGATCCGTGGCCCGGAGATTATCCCCAAGGCGAAGGCAGTCCCCAAAGCTGCTGCAAACCCGGGGACCCGTGGCCAGGCTGCGGAACCAAAGAGGGAGTGGATCAAATGCTCAGGAATCAAGACTCCCCAGAATGAGAACTATGGCAGAAGAACGTTCTTGAGCAAGAAGGTGTCGTACTTGGTTCGTGGACACGCACACGAACATGCAACGCGATCTATCCCTGAGATCAATCTCAGGGACAACTCCTTCGACTACGCAGCCGTCGCCAAGTGGATCCAACGTCGATATGGCTGGAACTGCTCCCAATATATACTCTTCTTCAGGCCACGAGCACATCAAACCGGTTCGAGGTCTATGTCGAGTACGCGCCGGCCGGGCAGCAATGGAACGGGCTCAGTTTCATGCCCTACGGATCCGCGCGTTCACCGGGCACAACGATTGGGTGACCGAGGCCAGCGGCTTTGACAATTCAATATTCCAGGAGATCCCATTGCAATGGATGTCAACTACACCATTGAGCACGCAAAGAAGGGAGTGCGACCGGGCTTCTGCAAAGATTTCTCGGACGCACGCCGAAAGGCGCTGCCCAAAATCGCCTACCACACGTGCAGCATGCAGAATTTCTTTGACATCATTTACATGGGCATCTTTCCTGTCGGAATGGGCGACCGACAATCCTCACGTGGTCACGCCTACCTAACGGTAGTGCCTCCTTGGGATAGGCATGGCCGGAAGGCGGGGGGAGCGCGGGCTGATCGGCCCATCAACATCGCCGTCGATATCGAGATGTTGATCCAATTGGGCTGTCGGCTGTACGCACCCGGAGACGGGGAAGCCCTGGTGACCGAGGATTGGATCACGAACAAGGTCCTCATTTATGCCTGATGCTGAGTGCGCGAAGTTCATCTGGGCCAATCGCATTATGTCAGCGTCAGAAGGAATTACCAGGACAGCATCAAGAAGTATCGTGAGGAGACTCAGAAAGGCGTTGTCATTCATGGCAAGGCTGACAAAGAGTGCCAAACTCTACTACAAGCAATGGGCCCCGACTGCTTGCCGCGACATGATGAGGCCTCACCGAATTGGGAACGTGACGAAGGTCAGGGACGTCTACGACGAGAACCTCTCCAAGGAGGAACAGGTCGCCCTCGAGTTTGAGACTGCTCGGTATGGTCTTTACAGGAACTGGGCTCGTGCTGTGAAGCAGCAGCCCGGGGAGACCCGTGGCCGGAGCGGATTGTGGCAAGACCTGGACCCCAACAAGCAGAAGTCGACCAATTGGCGCTTCGCGGAGGTCATGCACATCCCCGATGTCGAATGCCCGCGCTGCAAGATCGTTATCCCTGTGGGTACAATCAACTGCTATCAATGTGACAACCTCATGGAGCGCATGCCCGATATCAAAAAGATTGCAAGAGTTGTCCGATTGCAAGAGATGGCCAACAGCTTGGGCGTGCCGCTTTCGATGGACCAGGTTGAGACCCAGATCTTGACGCAGAGAAAGGACGCGAGAGGGGATCGAAGCGCAAGAGGGGGACTCGGGATCATGAAGGACATTGCCAAGAAAGCCGTCCTTCGCAACAAGGAGTACAACACCTTGTACGAGAGGCTGATCAACGACCCCTTCTACGCCTACACTGCCGCGCGGGGAGACCTGACGCCCTCCGCCCTCGAGTTTATCGAGAAGGTGGCACGATGCATTATTCCGAGTTTCGAAAGAACAAAGGAAATGATCCAAGGAAGCGTTGCTGTGCCAAAATATCACGCACGGCTAACACTGGTGCCGCCTAGCGAGGACGTGCAGGAGGTTGATCCCAAAGACGTGTATGTGGTGCATGGTGGCAGATTTTTGGAAACCGAACAATTTGCCGCGTTGTATGGAAGCCTTGACAAGACCAACCGCTATCCCGTGATGGGCTGGAGTCGGGATTTCTCATCGGTGGGAGATCCCGAAACTGTCTTGGTTGAGTTGCTTTGCTTCGTCGAAGAGGAGATCCCCGGCATCCAAATTCCTGGACGAGCCACCCCTCTCCCTGCAGTTGTCGGAGTGACGCGCAAGCCCATTCCACAGCTCCGGGAGACCGGTGGCCAATGGCAAGATCGTCAATGGAGCCAGTCGTACTGGGGAAGCTGGGGCCAATCCTGGGACTCGTGGTGGTCTGATGATCAGCGCCCGTGGAAGAGCTCCCGCAATTGGGATTGGCGGTGAATGAGCGGTCTCTTCAACAATCTTTTCAATCTTCGGCTGACATCCAATTACACTTCAAATTCAATATTCATTATACTTGTCAATCTATGTTGGCCGAGGATCAATGTACAGGCACGAGCACGCCTCGCGAGAGCGACGGTCAGTGGAGGCGGAAGACCTTAACGGCCAGTTGCTCGAATCCAAGTGCTTGTGTGCTGCAAAAGACTTCATGCCGATCGGGTTTCTTTGGTTGTTTCATCCCTTTCATTTGTCCTCCTGTTTCACATTCGGGCACGGGGGGTGTAGTTTGCAACGTGATGTATTTATCAACCATGTAAAACCCCAATGCATGAATGTCTCACTTGCGCAGTCTCATCATTACGACTGCGCGTGGCTCAAGTAAAAGGCGCGCTGTAGGCAGGGTTCATTGTTGACCCTTCCCGGTTGTTTAACCCGTTCTATAGAATGCTCACGATTTTGAGCCCACATCAGTGATGAAAGCCAGCGGGTCATTTGTATGCAGTGTGGTGATTGAGTGCCAGAGCGCCGCCAACTTTTTAGAATGTGAAAACCCAGTCCACGCTACGTGTTTGTTCCACCCCTATTGAAGCAGGCCGTCAGTTATGCAAAGCCAGCCGATTGAACGCTTGTAAGGCCAGTTTCGAGTTTGGCTCGGCCTTTCAGAGGAGAGCACAAGGTCCTTCTCGGCGCAGTCAGCAGCTAGACGTATCTAGACATACTGGCTTCTAGGTCCAACGTCCACAGCTACACATTGACGGATTGGGGTGGATTCCAATCCCCACGGTTGTGGTAGATTCGCGCGAGCTGAGCATAGGTGTCCTCTCTAGCTTAGTTTGCTTAGAAATAGATGGGTTCCACTGGTTTAGGTGGGGTTTGATTTCATTTACCAGGGAACCCCATCTATTTCTCCAAGAGGCCACCTACGGAGCTGAGGAGCCCATCACCTTGCCGCCCCGAGAGCTGCTGCCCATGCGCACGGCTCGCGCGCGGCTCTGCGTGAAGCGGGCCGCGTGCGGGGGGCGCAACGTGCGCATCGCAGGCGGGCGTGGGAGGCCGAGGGTCTATGCCCCATGCGGACAATTGGCTGTGGGTCAAATCCAATGGTACCCTTTTGGGGTAGGTGCACCACCCATTTTAGAACTTATTTTAGTGGGAATTTGGGATGTTCTCTGCAGGTACGGGATTTTGACCCATGGCCAATTCTGGAAGGATATTTCTTGGGTTGATTGTTTGCTCAACCCGTTGACACGGTATATTTTTCGGAGGAAGGGCGCTTGTGCATTGGGGGGGGGGGGGCTGACGGACACCCAGATAGAGAGAGACGTGTATGCAGACGTGCGCGCGCATATGCACACACACACACACAAAGTATGCATAACATAGATAGAATCTTACGACTATAGATGCAGCAATGACTAAGAAATGCATAACATGCATATACATCGGCAGCCGCAACAATCCGCTTCCTTCGAGGGGAACACGAGAATCCGTGTCAAACATTCCAGGTGGTTCGCGCCGCTGTGATTTTGTCACTGCCCAAATTGCCCGACCAGCGGCTCCCACTGCTCGGTTGACGGCTTAGAATAGCGTGATCGTAGGAAGCTGTTGCATGAACTGCTAGTCGCCCGGCACCCTAAGACCTCGAACGCCAGGCATCAAAGTGCTCACCAAGCGCCTCAAGCGCCGGCGGGAGGATGAGAGCCGCCTGGCTGACCGGCTTTGGTCGAACCAGGAGCCGGCAGCGAAGGGTGCGAAGCTCAACAATCCCATGCCCAATCAGCACACACCCTGCACACTTGAGAGCGCAGTCAATCGACCTTGCCTCAAGAGGATCCTGACGTTTGTTGTAGTGTGGATGATGTGTTCAAACGCAGTTGTGCCAATGTTGCACACTGACGTTCCGCAGCATCGAATGCGGTCCCCCGCCCCCACCAACAAAACATTGAATGGTTTCATAATTTTGCTTTGAGCCAGCTTCTGGCCCAGGTGCCACGAGCACACTAAGCGACTCAATCCACGACTGTTGCAGCTCCATTGGCCATGGCAGTTTAGCATTGCCTCGCAGGAGTTTGCAGACATTGCCGTGCGGGCCAACGACGGGGTTGAGATAAAAGCTCATCGTGCAGTGCCACCCTTAGACTACTGTACAATGCATGCATGCGTGCGCGCGAGCACGCGTGTGTGTGTGGGGGTTGGTGTGTGTGTACTGTGTGTAATGTGTTTGTATGTGTATGTGTAGCTGTTTGTTTGTTTGTTTGTTTGTTTGTTTGTTTGTTTGTTTGTTTGTTTGTTTGTTTGTGTGTGTGTGTGTGTTTGCTTGTTTGCTTGCTTGTTTGCTTGTTTGTTTGTTTGTTTGTTTGTTGTTTGTTTGTGTGTTTATTTGTTTGTTTGTGTGTGTGTGTGTGCGCGTGCGCGTCAGGGTGTGCATGTTGATGGCGGTTATGCGGGATGTGGGGTCAAGTGTGAGGCTGTTTCACCATGCAGCTCATTGCATCCGGTTTGGATGGACAGCTATCCAGGAACAGACAAATGTAGAGCAAAGAAAGCCTAAGCCCCTTATGGGGCCCGACTGTCAACCACAGCAGCTGCAATATGCCAACTGGCCTGTACGTGACTAAGAAGCTGCACCTGCCTAAATGAACCGACTGCACTTGTTTTGCATTTGGCAAGCACGCAAGAGGCCGCATATTCCCAGCAAACGATGGACGTGAGCAAATTGGAAGCCTTCACTAGCAAATGCTAGCAACGCAACTCCACACAGCGCAAAATGAACCACCAATTACATAGAATCCACAGGTTTTCTGTTGAGGAGGTCATGGCAAGCCCCCCCCCAGAATCTGGCTGTGGGCAAAAGATGTTCAAGGTTTTCTTCACTTCTACCTGCTTGCTTGTGAATCATGGCGCAGCCAAAATGATGAGTCACTAGAATGCCAGGTCCGCAAGAGGTGGTTTGGGTTCAGGCCTTTGACCAAGCCGAAGTTGGAGCCTTGAGGTCCTGGGCATCGCCTCCCCGGTCTTCCGGTGCATGCTGACGTCGCCGATGAAGGAAGGCGCCTTCGGAGAGGTGGCTCTGCCCTGCAGCGATGCTCGGACCGCATTGGAGCGAAGTGAGCGAAGTGAGCGAAGCCCGACGCTCGCCTTTCATAGCCCTCACCCTGGTCTTGCTAGATGCTTGGAGCGTGCAGCATGGAGTTCTGTTTGATCCCTGCATCCCCGAAGCCCATCACCTGTTTTAGTCCAGCGGCTGTAGGACAGAATGCCAAATTGTCCCTGCTCTTGAAGCTTGCTTTGAGAAAGTGAGCACGGCACTCAAGAGTCGTTTTTTTCCCCCAACCTGCCGTCCGCAAGCACCTGGTGAGGAAAGTGTGGTCCGCGCGCTGCTGAAGCACTGCTACGGCCTTCCCTATGATGGCAGCTTGAACCTGGAGGCGCTTGGTGCAACGCCCGTGGAGCCAGCCGCGTTGCGAAAGGCATTTCTTGCGTTTCCGGCAGTTTGAGGTGATTGTCTTTGGTGTTTGCGGTGGTGGGCTGCAGGGAGAAGCGTTGCCTGTAGTTGCCAGTTCTTGCATCTTAAGGAACCGTGTGGTGAAAAAGGCTTTGGCCCCATTAATCATTAATAGGTGGAGACCAAACGAGCAACGATGATACGAGCACAGGATCCTGAGCTTTGCCAGGATGAGCTGGCTCTTGTGGAGCAGGCGCACGCCTTTGAGCTCACAAGCCTGTGCGAGGACTGCCTGGGATTCGGCTCTTGCCCAGGGGAAGAGCCAGCACGGCTTGCGTGTGGCTTACATGTAGGCTCGTGCTGTCGCATGGAGGGCGTTCTTGGACCTGGGCTGCCCCATTTCGTGCTTTTGCAATTTTCCCTTTTGCACGAGACTATCTGCGAAGTGGAAACAGCTCGTTGGGTGCAGGATGCGGCATTTTCTGCCATCGAACGCTTGAGCGAGAACACGGTGGTGCCACTCATCAAAGGCCTCCGCACATTCTACAAGGCCTGATTGAAGCCAAGGGTCGGTCGGATAGGGCATGTAAGCAGCATGTAGGTGACACTAGCGGCGCTGGTCATGCCTTGAGGCTGGGGCACTCAAGGAGGAGTGGGAGAATTTGGTTCGACAAGTACGGGCTGCTTGGCATGGGCAGTTGTTTGGGGCAAGCCACATTGCGGCGCGCTCGAATATGAGCAGTCGCTCGGCAAAGGCAAATCCTGATTTGTGCCATGCAGTTCTTCTGACCGGCTGAGCCCACAAAGGCGGATTTCGGAATTGCGAGCAGCGCAACCGCCATGTGGATGCTTGTCGTTTCATGACAGTTTTACGGGTAGCGTTGATGAAGGGGAATGTGTCAATTCTAGGCATCGCGGCATTTTCCCTGGCCCCGGCACATTTGTGGGGAAGGAGGCCGGCTTTGCCAGGGCCAGGCCGCTGGCGGCAGTTTCACCGTCACTCTATCCCTTGAGATGAGGAGGTCCCAGCCACTGCCCTGTTTACGATGACTCAAGCAGCAAGGGTTGTTGGCTCATGGGCGTGGAGCATGGTTTTGTGTGGGGCGATGTGGCTGCTGCAGCTAAAAGCTCTTGCGTGTGGCAGTGGCGTGTCCGCTTTGAATGTCTGCATTGTGCGCGCACCAGGCGCAGGGGTCACCAATTTGGATCAGCGGCCTACCCTTCACCATTCCGACATTCCCAAAACTAGCTCTTTCCTCCTGCATGGCTCAAACAACCTCCACTAAGCGACATTGTCTTCAACTGCTGTCATGATCTTAATGGCGCATGGAGCATTTGTGCAGCCAGGGGCAAGCTTCAACCGAGATGGACAGAAATTGTGCCCTGGTGCAGGAATTGTGGCTTTTGCTGCACGAGATCGGCACAGTCGCAAAATGTGGGCTTCCGGTGGTCGCAGGTCGTCCTTCATTTTGGGTCCGGCTTGAAGGTTCACGATGCAAAAACAAGGCCGCAGGCAGCGGTGTGTCATTGTCGGCCGGCTGGTTGTGTACGTCTCCTCTGCTGCCATTAGTTATTCTTGAGCTCAAGTAGCACATGCCGCCTGCACATTCAAGTCTCAGACCAGCCTGCATCAGCGAGCCACCACTGACAGCCGGTCTCGACTCTAAGCCACCAGGGATCGAAAACACATTCGGAGCTGACTTGTCAACTTGCAGTGAAGTAAACCTCATCGCCGAACCATGACGAGCCTTGAGTCCCTGAGGGCTGCCTTGCCGTCGCACTTGCAGGCGGGACTTGGCTTGAAACTCTGTGAAACAGCAATCGGATCTACCGGCTGTCACCAGATATCGCCTCGCCTCGCCTCGAGGAAGGAAGGTTATGGCCCTGTGTTTCTTGAATCTTGTGTTGTTGTTTCGCTTTATTGAGTTTTGAGGGCGTGGGGGTTGAGCAGCTGTGAGCAACTGTGTTCTGGGAGGGCTTTTAAGGCAAACGTGGAACTTCCTCGGACAGACCTCGTGAGAGCAAAGTATGTTGAGAAGCTTCGTGCCGAGTTTGCCACGAGAAAGAAGCGGGTTCTCTCGAAAGGGCTGAGCAGGATCGGAGACGTTGCAGTGGGGGAAAAAACCAAATGCGTTGCCAGCCATTCACAGCAGAACGATCAAACTTGATGTTTGTTCACGGGAGCCCTCAACGTCTTGCAACAACTTGCGTGGTGGGAGCCGAAGGCGCTTTGAGGGAACGATGCTTCGCGGAAGGTCGATTCCAGTACGGCGAAAGCTTGGTAGAAGGTTTCATGGTTTGGGGTATACGGCAAAATTGCGGATGTTTATGAAGTTCGCCATTGGAAAAGCAGGCATGACGCAAGTGTTCAGCTGCCTTGCCATCGCTTCAGGAGCGGCTCCGCCTCTCCTCCTCTGCTCCCATCAGCACCTTAGCTGCCAACGCTTGGACGGTTTCCTTCGGCTGTGCCATTGCCATCAGTCAGCTCAATCATTCAACCATTGCTATTGTGGGTCCCCTTTGGTTCAGAAGTGTGCCAGCCCAAATACCACGATGAAAGCAGAAAGGGCCCACTTCGATTTGTGTGCTGCTTTGAATGCGCCAAGACCCCCCCGCAGCTGAACAGCTGAGGAACTGGGCCCGTGTTGTACTGGATGCGGAGCTGCCTGAGAGGCCATGAGAATCCTGCCCTGGATGCAGCCGTCGCAGCAGCTCGGCATGCTTTCAGAGGTCACTGGGCCATTATGGCCAGCAGGACAGAGGATCTCAGAATGTTTTCAGCCATTGAGCGTGGACACTTCTGGCACATCAGAAGCATAGAACAGGGATTGCTTGGTCTACATGGCCCTACCTTCAATGTACAGTTTTCAGTGTTTTGCCTTCCTCTCTTGAATGTGTTTTTGCTTGGGAGCTCTTTCAAAGTACTTGAGCACTCCTGGTGCCAGCCATACTGTTTGTCTCTGACTTTTGCAGATGATGGGAGGAGGGAGGGAGGAAGGGAGGGAGGGAGGGAGGGAGGGAGGGAGGGAGAGAGAGAGAGAGAGAGAGAAAGAAAAAAAAGAGAGAACAAAAAAGGGAGAACCATTTTCCGACCGTTTCGTTTTTGCGTGGCAAGGCAGCGGGCATCTTGAAGACTGCAGTTGTGGTCTTGGTGCACTTGGAGGCTTGGCGCCCCGGGGTAGGATTTCTGTAGCGACTCGCTTTGCTCGCGGCACTGTTGCCCGCGAGGACCAGTACCCACATGCCACGGCCCGGCGGCAGCAGTTCCTCTTGCAGGGTGTCCGGTCAGCACAGGACACGTGAGCTTGCCTCTTGCTTGGGGCCTGGCTGGCTGGACTCACCCGCTTCTGTTCCATTTGCAACGAATGGCCAGTTTGGCTGGTGTGGCATTGTGGCCATCGCTTTGCAGGAGGAGCTGAAGACACGGGGATTTCCCCATGTGTTGGTGCAGGCAGGGCGGCACCGGAGTCGACACCCTGGGCACCAGAGCAGAGCAGATGAATGTTGTGGGTTTGGCAAAGGCATGGCTCTGGCAGGTTGACCGGCGTGGCCACCGTCCAGCACTTCACCTTGAGCTGGCAAAGAAATGCGCTATGGTTGTCGCAGAGGAGCCTTTCTGCGTTCCCTTCCTGAAGGGCGTGGAGGAGCGCAGTGGTACTGCGAAGATTTGCAAGTGTTGCAGCAATGCGCCAGCTGGGCATAGTCGGGTCTACCAAGGGCCGCACGCCACGCAAGCAATGCATTACAGTGGAATGATGTGGAAGTCCTGTTTTGCAGCACAACATGCAAAGCGAGCTCAACAAGCTCCACGTGTACCAAACCATTCTGAGGCTGTGATTTTACACTCGGCCACAGGTTGAAGCCGTCTTGTTTGCCATGGAAAGTACGAGTTGCCACTGTGCACAGCGCATATCAGAAGAAGATCGCCAAGCGTGCCGTATGTTTTTGCTATGTGCACCGTTTCACACCCCCTTTCTGTCTGGAAACGGCAAGCTGTTTGCTTTGTTGCATACCCCTCACTTCAGAATAGAGGATGTCCACGAAGGTCCAGCGATGCCTGTCGACCGTGGGTGACATGTGCAGTCGGGAGAGACTCAAGTTTATGACAATAGCCCCAGCGATATGAATTCCTTGCTTCATGCGCTGTGTCCCTTCCCTTTGGGTTTCGGTTTCGAGCTCGCAGTCCGAAGGAGCTGCGGGCGGCGCCTCTGTGGCTCCTGGACTGCGCGTCGGTGGTGCCCAGCGCTTTGGTGCCCAAGGGCGCCTGCCACCGCGCCTATGCCTACGAGCGCCTTGGCGGGGGGCCCGGGGCCCGGGGCCTCCCGGGGCCCAGAAACGGAAGTCACGGGAAGGTGGAGGACCATTGGGCATGGACATGGTCCACTCCCCTCCCCTTGTCTCCCCTCCTAGCTTTTGCCTGCCAAGCCACAATCGAAGTTGTTCAACCCCTTTGAAGTTCACTTGCCTGGGCAGGGCGAGGCCGGAAGCTGTGTGTGTGTGTGTGTGTGTTCGCGCATGCGTGGTTGGAGCTAGCTTTTGGCAGAGAAGCTTTGTTTGGGCTTGATTGCAAGGAGACATGAGGGAAGGGCAAACTAAAAAAGGCAGCAGCTGTGATTGAATATTTCTGAAGCCTGGCTACAGGAATGGTGCATAACCCGATGCAGGCGAGGTCGAGCAGAGTCACATGCCGCGCCAATTTCTTGTTTCCTTGGCGATATCCATCCATGTTGATTCCGCCGTGAACTCAAGCTCATCCCAACCCACGGCGCTCAGGAAGGCCACAGAGTATCTGCACACCAAGCATGCAGCCCACAAATGGGAAGATGCGAAGCTTGAGCAGGGCGCGGTGCTTGACTTTGAGCTACCGCCGTGCAATGATCTTCAGCATCCGGACGAGGCAGCCGGACCAGAAGAATCGATGGGTCGAATTGCCCGGCTGTTGTATAATGTTGTATATGTCTACCGTGACCCTTGAGGGGCAATGTCCAATCTATCAAGACGGCGGTGGATTGTATTCGAATACATCCTTGCTTCGTGGGGGGTTTACTTTCGAGATTCAGCAAGTCAATTTTTATCGCTTGCAGCTGTGCCACACATTTAAGCCTTCCCAAATGCACTTGCCATGTTTCAGGAATCAACTGTTCGAGTTTGAATGTTTGAGATTTGCAGCCGCAGCTTTCAGTCCAGCCGAAGCAGGCCCCAAAGCAGAACGAATTGTCCAAGAGATGAAGGGAACAAACATGTCCTTAAAGCTCGGGTAAAATTGGTGGTCAGTCGAAATCAGATGCGACGAGATTTGCTCATCGCTTGCTGGGCTTGGAGGCTTCAGAGATACAAAGCGTTACATGAGATGCATGGGGTTGCTGAATGAAAGGTGCGGAAAGGGCGGTTGCCATTTTGCCATTTGCCCTCTATTTCTCTAGCCCCTTCCAGCCCGGACTGCTCACCAACTGAGCAACTGGAAGCTATCTCGCGGACGGTTGGCCCTCGGGCCATCTAGGGGCCCTGCGCAGGTCTTGCTGAAGGACATGGAGGTGGACCACTCAGTAGCCCCGGTGTCGCACACCCCTGGCGGCAGCAGTGCAGGCTATGCGCGCTGGAACTCATGGGTCGCAGGAGGCGGTGTGTGATCCGGGTCTTGACCCAGTTGTTTGGTACTCGTATCCTCATCGTTTGTTTTGCTCGTTTTGGTGTTCCGTTTGAACCGTATCAGCGCAATTGCCAGCATAGGGTGGCGCTGGGTGCTTTTAATGGATTTGCGGTTCATGTTATGTGGTTTGGGTGAGTGGTGAGTGGCGCGGCTTCCGCCCTTTTTCCCTGAAGGGCAGGAAGACCATGTGAGATGGGCAAACCAGCGCAAGCCGGAAGAATGAAGAATGGGACCTTTGATTCTGCACATATCTTCTGTTTTCAGGGCGTCAGGCTACTTGCCATTGATGCAACACCCACGGGCGCTTTGTACTCCGGGTGGGCCTTGGCCCCTCTTCCTTTTCCGGTGGGTCTAACCTCTCACCGTGGACAGCGACCATAGCAGTGCGTAGCGTCTAAGGTGAGTGTTATGCTTTGGCAAAAGCACGTCCTTGGTCCTGGGCAGGTGGACTCAAGACCTACGCGAAAAGGCGGAATGAGTCGCTGGACGTGCATGGGGTGTCGCGAATGAGCGCCTACTTGAATGCCGGCATGGTGAGTCCAATGAGGACGAGTCAGAACAAGTTTTAAGATAGAAGGCCCGAGCCCTGTTGCAGGTTCCAAAGCATCGGGTGGAGCATTTGACATCACCTTTCTTACTCAACATTGCTGAAGAGTGTGCTAGCATGTGCTAGCTAGATGCCACGCACTGACCCGCTGACCGGGTGGGGTGAGACAGCGGCAGTTGCAACATGTGTTTGACGCCGTTCACTCAGACTCCGGCTTTTTTGGTAGGATTGCTCGCTTGGCATCCACTGCCACTGGCGCGGGCAAATCAAAGTTTCTGCCGCCTGGCTTGAGTTGGCCATGGGCGAGAAAGCCCAACATTTGAGAGTCGCGATGGCAAGCCCAATCCGGTTGACAAACACGGCAGCCGTTAGAACTAATTGTACTTAGAAGGTTTGGTTGCTTTGGGCTTAGCTTGGCTCCCGCTTCTTCTCGAAATGCACCTAGATTGATGTCTCGAGGAATGAATTTCTGACCTGGCGAGGGATTTGCTACAGCCACTTCTATCACTTCCCCATGCCCTCTTCTGGGGCTACGGTGGCGCAGCTTCCCCCATGGGCGCAGCAGACGCTCCAGGAGCACGCCAAGGACTCCCGGCAGGTGATCCCTTTGGAGCAGCTGGCGTCCGCCAAATCTGGGGATGCTGCCTGGGACGGCATGCAGAGGTACCTCATCGAAACAGGACGGCTTGGAGGGTTTGGGACGGTTTGGCGAGCCACTTTTCGAGTTGCTGACCCATGTCTTGTGACTGGTGAAGTGAAGTTTGACTTGCGCCAGTCAGCAAGAGTGCGACCAACATGTGGGCACACCCACACGGGCACTGATGTCATTTGGTTGGGTTCCTTTGTGATTTCACGTTTGCCGCATTTTTTAACCACAGTAACAGTAACCCCAAAAAGGGTACCGACCGTGCCTTTTTGGCAGGAGAGCTCCACAACAACGCCCGCATGGGCTGGGGCAAGGCAGTGTGCAGGTGGACTGAGGGCCCACAAGCAGCCATCGACGCCCTTGTTGCTCTCAACAACATCTTCGCATTGGATGGCAACTTGGCAAATTATTGTTCAGCTTTTTGCAGTGCTCGAGCGCACACGCGCGCGCTGGTTACTGGGACGTTCACTCGAAGTCAGCTGTGCTTCCTCCCCCATGTGCCTATTTGCATGTTGGCTCACATTGGCCGAGCCTTTTCGAGGCCATGCACCGCCCTCCTACGGTGGCCTGCTGGGTTGCTTGGGCCTTTTCGCTGCTTGGCACACGGCAGTGGATTAGCTGCTGCAAGTATTCAAGAGTTGAGTTGGCTACCACCGGTTGGGCTAAAGTGCCCCAGGTGCGGTGTTCATTCTTGGGGCGCGGCTCGTTCTTTGTAAGGGGAGTCAAGAGTTAAGACAGGACGGTGCTCAACGCTTGGTCTTGATGCAGCAGCGCGACTGTCCACCTAAGGAAGGCCCAAAGCAAGATAGCGCAATACTCGGCAAGGCAACTTGGCTTTCAATTAGAAGACGACCCGTCACACAGTCAGATGGGCAGGCAAGCTTCAGACATGGCTTAGGTCTCGCACCGATCTCCGAAAGCCAAGTATGCTACCCTCCCGGACGTCGCTGGCGAATTGATGCGCGCTGGAAAGCAGGAGGCTGGCATTGCCAGATTTTTCGCAGCTTGGACAGCGCTTGGTGTGGTGCTTGAAGGCTTGGTTGGGAGCATGGTCGCGAGATTCGGAAACTCTGTCATGGTGTGATGAACTGTGCAGGCAGTTGGCCTGTCCCCAAAAGTTCCAAGTGCCGCCCTTCCTAGGACGGGTATGTGCCCAAATTAGCCTTGTGCAAAGTTGTTTTTCTTCTCGTTCGATTGGAGAATGAGTGGTGGCCTTGAAATGCAGCCAAAGACTGCGATCTGTGGGATTCAAGCCAACCTGAGCGTTCGCTGAGGGAAGGGCTGTGGAGAACAGCCTGGAGCCTCAGCCGAAGAGGCGATGGGTGAGGAAGCTGGGCCCCGATGGAACCATCGCCCTGGACTGAACCCTTATATTGGAAGTCCGCATAAATCCGATGCCGCTTTGGCCATCTCTTTTACTACAGGATTCTGTGCACTTGACTGGGAAGGCTAGTTTCTTTGATACTCCCATGTCCAATCGGGATCCAATCAGACAGTTTGATTCAGGCTTGCTGGCCCTCAAATTTCAAAGGGGGGTACAGACTAATCGGCTTATCTTCCGCAGACTTAAGCTGCATACATTCAGGCAGGGTGCGCCTGACTGTGGACGCCTCCTTGCCAATGTGGATGGACCAATCGCACCGTGCCTGCAATCGCAAGTGGCCTCCATTGTCCAAGTACCAGTCTTTGCTGGATCGCCACGAAGCTTGCCATCCACAGACAGTAGGAGGCGTCCAACCATTTTCGCTTTGGAGCCTCGTTTTTCATGCTGCGGCGTCGCAGTTCAACTTTTTGAGAGCACAGATAGGTTCATGGGGGTTTCTGTCTGATGACGCTGAGCGCATCGCGCATGGGATGCTTCCTTCTAGAAGCCTTGCCAGGGTGAGAAAAGAGCTGTCCTGAGTGCCACCTGCTGCTTCCCGGTTTTCAGGGAGAGTGGCTGACATACAACGTAGAGGGGCTTGCAAGGACTTTGCCGAAGGTGAGCATCACCCGAGTTTCCGCGACTGGCAGATGACCAGTCGCA